GGGGGCCCCGGGGGGGGGGGGGGGGGGGGGAAGACAGCCCAGCCTGGAGTCCCCTCATCCTGCAGAAGGTCAAGGCCCTTCCAGTTCCTCGTTTGGAAATGAAGATAACCCGTGCCGCCCACCTCCTGTCTCCACGGCAACACTGGGAGCGAGGTTGATGGTGTGGCCGGCACGCTCTGTGCTCACGGCCCCCCGACAGCCCCTTCCTCCCGTCCCCTGCCTGCCAGCATGGAGTTTTCTTTTTTGTTGTTGTTGTGTTTTTTTTGAGTTGGAGTCTCACTCTGGCATCCAGGCTGGAGTGCAGTGGCATGCTCACGGCCACCCCAGCGTCGACCCACTGGGCTCCGGCGATCCTTCCACCTCAGGCTTCCAAGTAACTGGAACTACAGGCATGTGCTACCATGCCTGGCTAATTATTTTTATCTTATTGTAGAAGCGAGGTCTCGCCAAGTTGCCCAGGCTGGTCCCGAACCCTCGGGCTCAGGCAATCCACTCGCCTCGGCCTCCCAAAGTGCTGGGTTGACAGGCTGAGCCACTGAGCTCGGCCCAGCATGGAGTTTTCTAGCAGTGCTGAGCCCGGTGCTGGGTGAGCAAGACGAGTAGTTGTTGCTGAGGCTGAATTCAGATGATCTGTGTCCAGGGCTCAGCTCTGACACAAAGTAGCAAGTGTTTCCTTTTATTTATTTTTTTCCTTTTTGAGTCAAGGTCTCACTCTGTCACCCAGGCTGGAGTGCGGGGCATGCTCATGGCCGACACAGCCTCGACCTGCTGGGCCCAGGCCATCCTTTCGCCTCAGCCTCCTGAATAGCTGGAACTACAGGTGCATGCCACCATGCCCAGCTAATTTTTCAACTTCTTGTAGAGACGAGGTCTTGCCAGTTTGCCCGGGCTGGTCTCGAACCCCTGGACTCAGGCAATCCTCATACCTTGGCCTCCCAAAGTACTGGGATGACAGGCATGAGCCACCACACCCGGCTCTATAGCAAGTGCTTTAGAGAACGCCATGGGCTGTAATGTGCTCATGCAATCACCCATCGTGACTTCCCTGGGTCTCCCTCCCGACAGCAAGCGAGAAGAATGTCTCAAAGGCTCCGCGACCGACGGCCCCTCCTCTCTCTCCCCCTGCAGGTGACGCTGGAGACTGCAGGTGCGCCGAGGGTGACCAGTTCATCAGCAGGGTCCCGGGACTGCCGGGACCCAAGGGCTTTCCGGGTGTCAACGGGGAGCCGGGGAGGAAAGGGGACCAAGGAGACCCCGGCCAGCACGGCATCCCTGGGTTCTCAGGGTTCAAGGTGAGGAACAGCGTCTCCTCCTGGCTGTTTTATCATACGCGAAGTCACCCTGAGGCCTTCCCCGGCGTCCTGTGCCAGGCTGTGACCTGTTCTTTATACTCAGCTGTAGACCAGCGGCACTCGTGTGCCCGGGGTATGGACAGGCCATTCGGGAAAACCACGTGAAGGCTGCTGGCCACCCCTCAAAGAGTCGAACCCAACGGGGCGTCCCCACGTGACCTGGGCATGCCACCCCTGGTGTATACCCAAGAGTTAAAAACACAAATACATGCAGGCCGTGTTCGGAGTGGCACTTGTCACAGCAGCCAAGAAAGGAAGCAACCGGGTATCCATTCGCTGATGACGGGAGAGCCTGAATGTGGCACGTCCATGCCAGGGGGTCTCACTCAGCGGGACGCAGGCGTGACATGAGCCTCGGTGGCCTTGTGCCCGGTGAAAGGAACACACGCTGCACGATCCTGGGATGTGACACATCCCAACAGGCCACCCTAGAGACAAGGTGGTCTGGTGGGAGGAGGGATAGAGGGAGGGATAGAGGGAGGGACCGCCCTGTGTGTTGGGGGTTTCTCTTTGATGTGATGATGTTCTGGAATTAGCTAAGAATAATGGTTGCACAATCTTGCAAAAACACTAAAAACCAGGGACTTCTGTGCTTTAAAATAGTGGATTTGGGGGCATATGATTTCTGTCTCCAAAAAAGAAGCTTCAGGTCTTGTGGATGTAAGGTGCATTAATCATTGAGGGTTCATCTCTTCAAGTTTAGTAAGAACTCACCGAGCATTTACAAAGGCTTCCTTCACCCAGTATCCAAACGAGGCCTCCAGGTAAACGGTGAATCTGCTGTGCACGGACGCCATTCCCTGTCTCTTGACCCCTGCAGTCTCAGCCGAGTGGTCTTTGTTCCATGTCTTGAGAGACGGCCACCCGGAGTAGGTCTTCTGTGCAGGGCTAAGCCCAGTAAAGATCTCCAAGTAAATTCAGATGTAGGCAAAGAAATTATGTTTGTAGTTTATTTTTTGAGCTTCGAGAACTTGGGGAGATTTCTAAAGCAAAAAGTCCATTCTTCTACATATTCAGCATTGGAGAAAGAAATTGCTTGGGACATATGGCCGAGGAATGGGAACAATCTGACTCCACACCACGAGTTTGCAACCTCGGGACTGTGGCTGCGGGAAGGCGGGACTTCCAGTGGCTTTATGGCCTGGGGGCTTTGCAGGTGACAGTGAGACCGGCAACTCCTGGCTGCTCCATGCCCCTAGGCCTTCTCAGAGAGCTGGTAGGAGAATCCAATAAAAAATAGCAGGTGCTACATGGCGTCCTGGTTTAAAAATGAGACCCTGTCCCAGCCATGGCTGTCTAAGCAGGTGACATCGCCCAAGCATTCAGAAAGAGTCCATGCAGTGGGCACTGCGGGCTTACTCGTGGCCAGGCCTAGCGGCGTCTCCAGCTATTTAAAAATGGATTGAATATGTATTAGAAGCCAAACGGAGCCCATTCTGTGCCCCCGAAATGTCTCATTTCCCCCGAGTGCACAGGCCTCCCCCGTGGTACTCCACACACCCATAGGACTCTGCCTGAGCAGAGTCTCAGGTTGTGCTTGAGGTCTTGCATCTAAGTATACATTAGTGTCTGGCGATGCTACTGCAGTAGGGATGCCTATGGCGGTTGGAGTTTTTTTGTTGCTGTTTGTTAGCATTTTTACTGATAGAGTCTGGCAGCGTGCGTGAGCTGCCCGTTCATCAAGGTGTGCTTCCTGAGTTTCGTCTGTGTGTGAGACGTTCTCCCGCTTGCCAAAAGAATGTCGCCCTTTTCTGCAAAGAGCTCAATCAATAAATCAAGTATCTGTGGAATTTTCTAGGAGAAAGGAACTCATAATCACTTGTAAGATTCCATTTCACTAAATCAGCACCCAACCCTCCCTTAGAAGTTGCACAACCCGGGTGGACCAAAAACTAGCACGTCGCGTGGATTAAAATACAACCCCGAGCCGCTCACCGCGTGTTCCTGCTCATGGAAAGAGCCACACTAGGCTTTTTTTTTTTTTTTTGAGTTGGAGTCTCACTCTGTCGCCCAGGCTTGAGTGCAGTGGCACGCTCCCGACCACCACAGCCTTGACCCACTGGGCTCCGGCCATCCTTCCGCCTCAGCCTTCCAAGTAGCCGGAACTACAGGTGCGTGCTACCACGCCCGGCTAGTTTTTGATTTATGGTAGAGATAAGGTCTTGCCAAATTGCCTGGGTGAGTCTTGAACCCGCAGGCTCAGGCAATCCACTCGCCTCAGCCTCCCAAAGCGCTGGGATAACAGACTGGCCTCCGAGCCCGGCCCACCCTAGACTTTTTGCAGCCGCAAACGTGAGTGTCCTTGTACCAAGTTTCTCTCTGAACCTTAATCTCAGCTTGGAAAACAAATGGGCTGTGAATATGATTTCTCGTTCTCAGCATTAGGTGGTCACCAATATCTGCCTGTCCTGCTTGGATGCGTGGGACTTGCTAGATCCTCAGAGATGGTGGTTTAGAGGAAGCAACCTTGAGTGTGAGGTCCATCTTCTCAAAAGCCAGAGAGTCTGTGCGTCCCTGGGGGCTTTGTAGAGATATGGGTTGTGATTCCCGTGCTTGGGCTGCGGCCCGTGCATCTGTGTCCCCAGCCGGCCCCCAGAGACACTGAAGATGAACCTGGCACCTAGGTTTCTACGGTCTCACCAGCTGTGGCTATTTATGTTACACTGTCATTCTTTGCACTTTTAACGTGAAAGAAAACACACAATTCAGTTCCTCGTTCCCACCGCCCACGATTCCAGCACTCGACAGCCATAAGGCTGCGGCCACCACGCTGGACACGGGATAGAGAGCATTTCCAGCGCCGCAGAAGGTGCTCTCGGTGGCGCTGGGCTTGGTGACGGGTGCCTGCCACGCATCCTATGAGCTGAAAAGTAGCCGTCTTCTCCGATATCCGAACAGTCTGAAGGGGGAAGAAACATGTTTGTGCGTTTGCTTCCACAGGGAGCTCCTGGCAGCACTGGCCCGCCCGGGCCCAAAGGAGCCAAGGGAGATTCTAGAACCATCACGACCAAAGGTCAGTCCTTCCATGGCCGAGCGATTCGGGATCACTTGGCCTTTCTGGGGTGCAGCTGCGTGAACAGACTCACATGCAAACCTCTCCCCAGGTGAGAGAGGACAGCCCGGCATCCCAGGTGTGCCCGGGGTGAAAGGCGAAGACGGCGTCCCTGGACGTGTTGGGCTCGACGGATTCCCGGGCCTCACAGGGCCTCCTGTGAGTAGCCGCGTCGGGGGGCGGGCTCAGCCTCTCTTCTGGTCTTGAAGCCTCCGAGAAGCAGCCCTGCTGGTGTCTGCCCTAAACCAACCCTGTGCCCAGGACAGGACCCTTCCGTTTTTAAGGAGCAGAAATTATACTGTTTAGGAAATAGCGAGTTAGGCTGGAAACACTCCCCATGGTGTGACACCAGTGAGCCCCCTACAGAGGGGATATTCTGCTTGGTTGGTGGGTTAGCTGGTTTTTGAGTCAGAGTCTCACTCTGTCGCCCAGGTTGGAGTGCAGTGGCACCATCACGGCTCACCACAGCCTCGGCCTCCTAGGCTCAGGCGATCCTTCTGCCTCAGCCTCTCAAGTAGCTGGGACAGTAGGTGTGCACCACCAGACCTGGCTAATTTATTTTTTTTTTTTAGTAGAGACAAAGTTTCACTAGGCTGATTTTGAACTCCTCCTGGGCACGAGCAATCCTCCAGCCTCGGCCTCCCAGAGTGCTAGAAGGACAGGCGTGAGCCACTGCACTGACCACAAGTGAAATATTCTTAAATGGGTGGTGGAGTCCTATTTTTTTTTTTCAGGGTAAATCATGAAACATCCAATTTCATTTCTGCAACAAACACATGGTGGCATTGGATAGAGGGTCGCTGGCAACCCGCAGAGACCTCACCTCCTTTCCCATCATAGCTCTGGAATGTTCTCTCGTGGTTCTGCAGTGCTATTTCTCGCCTTTCTGTGTTTCCTAGATTTCTCCTCCCTATGGTTCCAAGCCTGTGCCTCCTTAAGCTCTTTGTGTTAGTGTCCTGGGACTGCTGTACCCAAGTGCCACAGACCGGGTGACTTAAACGTCAGGCGTGTGTTCCCTCACAGCTCTGGAGGCCGGAAGTCTGAGGCCACGGTGTTAGCAGGGCTGGCTCCTTCTGAGGTTGTGGCGAGGAATTGTGCCAGCCTCTCTCTGGCTTCTGGAAGCTCCCGGTGCCCTTGGCGTATAGGTGGCCATCTTCCCTCTGCCTTCACACTGTCTCTCCTCTGTGTGTCTGTTCCTGGGTCCAAGGTTCCCCGTTTTATGGGGAGATCGGTCATGTTGGAACAGGGCCCGCCCTGGATCTTACCTTGATCATCTTCAAGGACCTTATTGCCAAGTAAGGTCATGTTCACAGGCACTGGGGTTAGGACCATCATTTTGGGGGGACAGTAGAGGCCATGACACTCTTCCTCCTCTTCAGAGCCTCACACCTGAATTCTGCCTGCAGCTTCCCAGCTCAACCCAGGGCTTCTTTTTATTTGATGTGGGTTATGTCTGTTGTAACAATCTTATACTTACAAAAAAGCATTTTTTTTTAGTTGGAGTCTCACTCTGTCATCCAGGCTAGAGTGCAGTGGCACACTCACAGCCTCCCAGTGTCAACCTACTGGGCGATCCTTCCGCCTCAGCCTTCCAAGTAGTTGGAACTACAGGCATGTGCTACCACATCCAGCTAATTTTTTTTTTAATTGTAGAGACAGGGTCTCATTCTGCCATCCAGGCTGTAGTTCAGTGGCATGATCATGGCTCACTGTAGCCTTGAATGCCTGAGCTCAAGAGATTTTCCCATCTCAGCCTCCCAAGTAGCTGGGACTGCAGGCATGAGCCACCACACCCAGCTAATTTTTTCAATTTTGGTGGAGACTGAGTCTCACTATGTTGCCCAGGCTGGTCTTGAACTCCTGGCCTCAAGTGATCTTCCCATGTCAGCCTCCCCGAGTCACTGAGATGACTGGAGTGGGACACTGCCCTGGCCAACACTCTTAAGTTTTAAGCTCAGTTTTTTGGGACCAGAGAGCCCAGATAGTTCTGCAATAGAGTAACTTAAAACTTTCATTTGGAAGGCGACATGGGTAAGCAAGAGGCAGGGCGGGGATCGATGGGGCAAGAGACATGACTCACTTCAGCCGGAAGAGGAAGACGACCAGTCTGTCCTGCGGGTTAACAGGGTTCCTGATTCTGTCTGTCCAGTGTGGCATGTAGCATGAGGGCTGGGGTGTGTGAACATGTGAGGGGTTTGGGGTGTGTGTAGTGTGCCGTGGGGGGGTGGGAGTAAGTGTACGAACGGTGTGCGGTTTGTGTGGTGTGTGGTCCGTGCTGGTCTTGATTCATCATGATCACAGTGGCCCTCCCTAGAGCTGGAGGCCGGTGAAGCTGTTAGCGTCTAAGGAGGAGAGCATCCATCCCGGCCATGGAGTCCAGCCCGCCCACAGTTCCCAGACCTGGCTGCCAGCCCCAGCCCAGCTATGGGCGGGTGGTCAGGGCCGCTCTGTGCCCAGAGCAGGGTGAGGGTTAGGGTGAGGATTAGTGTGAGGGTGAGGGTGAGGGTGAGCATTAGAGTGGGAGTGAGGGTTAGAGTGAGGGTGAGGTTTAGGGTGAGGGTTAGAGTTAGAAAGAGCAGCGCTTCTCCGCTTCCCATCCTCTAGGGCTAAGGGAAGGGGGAGAGAGACGGGGAGGGGCCGGGGAGCAGCCCTCCAGCCTCTGCCTGCCACCCTGCTGGGGCGTCTCCCGGCATCATGCACCTTCCTCGCCTGCTGGTATCTCTAAGCCAAGAGCGCTGTCCAGCCGTCACCACCGTCGCCACCTGCTCAGTGTGGGGCATCCACTCTGTGACCTCCGAAGGGTCCTGTGGAATGGAGCGACCCCTTGGGAAGATGCTGACACATAGGGCCGTGCCATGCAGTCGGGGTCCCACAGAGAGCCGGGGCTTGGCCAGTGACCTCTCCCCATACCACTTGCCTTGAAAACGAAGGAGAAAATTGTGTCGGTAGAAATGGACGTCCAGTTGTCATTCGAGCATCCACTTCCTCCGCGGCGGTGGCAAATGTGCTGGGGCTTGTCCTCACGGCTGTTCCACCGCTCACTGGGACACGCTCAGCATGGGGGCGGCCGTGGCTTGTGCGTGGTCACGCTGGCATCCCTCCTCCAGCCTCCCCCTCCCACCCTGGACTCCCCAGCACTGACTCTGTGGGTGTCACGGCAGGAAACCTGGTGTCTCCAGCCCCTCCTCTTTTCTGGTACCCACGCATCACCCCTTGCAGATAGGAGATAGGTCACCAGTGCCAAATGACAATGACAAAATAGTATGTCCCACCCCCAGTTGCAGAGTTCTTCCTGTGAGTGAGGGCCCTAGCTGTGCAGGGGAGCTGGCGAGTGGGACGAGAAAGATACCTCCTAGTTACACACGCATGCCTTCCAGAACCATCTTCCACCGTGTGGCTCGTGCCGTTACAAAACCTGTGGTTGACCTCCGTGACTTGGCTGGACCATGGCGGTGGCTCCTGTTCATCCCTGTCGTCTTTCTGTTCTGGATTTTCCCGCTCAGAGTCCCGGGAAATGGGGAAAGGAGGCTGGGACGTAGTGGCCGTCTTTGACGTTGGCATAGACGTTAAGAGATCCACCGAATCTTCACACAGGGTGATGGTATCCAAGGCCCCCCAGGGGACCGGGGCTATCCCGGTGCACCCGGAACGAAGGGCCTTCCAGGAGAGATGGGTCCCCCAGGACTGGGCTTGCCGGGCCCCAAAGGCCAGCGCGGTCACCCCGGAGATGCCGGCTCACGTGGACCACCAGGCTTCCCCGGCCCTCCCGGCCTCCCGGGAGCCCCAGGACAAATAGGTATGAAGGGGCCCTCTCGTCTGTCCTTCTGCGTCGTGAACGTTGTTGGGTGCCTCAGCGCCCTCCTACGTGCCCATGTGGCATGTCCCAGGGGCATCGGATGAGGATGTGCTGCTTCCCGTGTTCTTGGCACCAACGGTGGGCTTCCTGGCCTGCCAGCCTCCTCTCGGTGGGTGGAGTACAGAGCCTCTCTCTCTAGGGCTGCAGCGACAGGGGCTTTGCACAGAGGCTCAGAAGTGGACTTTGCAACTCCCCATCCACACTGCAGCCTGTCCGCCACCACCAGCTACACACACCACACACACACATACACACACACACACACACACCCATGTGCACACCCTGATGCGCTCATAACATCCAGTTATTCCAAATTGTCTCACTTTCACCATGTCTCCCCTAGACTGTGACACCGGCGTGAAGAGGCCCATTGGAGGTGACAGACAGGAGACTGTCCCACCAGGTATGTGGGGAAGCCCGGGAGGCTTCGGCACTTCCTGTCAATGAAATACTTGACCCGTCTGCAGCTGCTTGGTGAACTCCCGTGGTATGCGGGTGCAAGAAATAGTAATATACAGAAAACTTGGAACGGGTGCCCTGTCTGCTCCAGCTCAGTCTATAAAAAAAGCAAGTGCAAGAAATCATGGTGTTGTCAGAAGCAGAAGGCATCCCAATAAAGCAGTCACCAAAGCAGGGGAAGTGCCCGTTCTGATTTGTGATGTTGGTAAGAAAACATGACCAGGCACAGTGGCTCAAGCCTGTCGTCCCAGCACTTTGGGAGGCTGAGGCAAGAGGATCGCCTGAGCCCACGGGTTCAAAACCAGCCTGGGCAACTTGGTGAGACCTCGCCTCTGCAAATATATCAGACAATTAGCTGGGTGTGGTAGCACGCGTCTGTAGTTCCGGCTACTTGGAAGGCTGAGGCAGAAGGATCACCTGAGCCCAGGAGGTCAACCCTGGGGTGGCTGTGAGCGTACTACTGCACTCCACCTGGGTGACTGAGTGAGACTTTGACTCAAAAACAAAAAGAAACAGAAAATGCAATAGACAATCTCATCCTTAGAACTGGAATGTCTCATGGGGCATCCCAGCCAAGGAGTGAGTGCTCCCTGAACTGGCAACGCTGAGATGGAGACCAGGGCGGAGGGCCTAGAGGCCATGGGATGGATCTGGCACATTCTGTAGGCCTGAAGGCGTGGGAGACTTGGGGTGTAAAGACACTGTGATCGTGGTGTGTTCCCATTCTAGCCATGCCAAGATTCAAGACACGCCCAAGCCAGTGGGTAGCAAATGGGGTCAGGGTGACCAGACTGGGAAGCTATACCATTTCCCAGGCCTTTCGAGGCAGGGAGGCCACAGTACCCTGCCCAGTGCAGAAGCCACCCTGGCTGCACCTTCTGGAACATTCTGGATTCAAAGTCACAGTCTGGAATGGATGAGCCACCTCTGATGTCCTTGTCACCAGCAGAGCGGCCATTGCACGAGTGACAGCCTGATAGAGACGGAGGGACATGCAGCTAATCCTCTCTCCTGAAGCCCTTTGCCTCTGGAAAGAGCCAGTGCGTTCCAAGTCGGCTGCCAGGGCTCGTGCACTGCCAGGAGGGAAAAGGCAGGGAGAGGCTAAATCACAGCGGACGTTGGCCGGGAAGTCAGGCCAACATGGGAGCCTGGCCCGCGTTCTCAGGCAGAGAAGACCTCCATGAATTCCCATGCTTGCGAAAGCCTCTTAGACAAAGGCCGGGCAAGAAAGCACCCCATAGAAACGCTGCTGTCCCAGGCCACACCAGCCAGGGCGCCTGCACCCTGCTTTATTCTGTACTTCTCCAAGCAGCTAATTGCTGTGGCTCATTCTAAGAGTATTCAAGGCACAAAAGGAGCAGTTGAAGAGCTCCTTTGGAAATCGCAAGCCGTCTCCATCCAGGGAAAGATGCTTCCAGACAAAAGAAAAATGTCCACGCAGGCAGACTGGGGCAAACCCAGATTAATTGGGTTTGTGAGAGTCCGTTGCCCTCTGAGAGGGAATGAGCCATTTGCCACCAGATTTTATTTGACTAGATGTGCTTAATTTGCATTTTATATTAATTTTCTCTTTTCATTACACAAAGAAATTTAACTTTTATTTATATCAGAACCAAGATTAATTAAATCGTTAGATTGTTCTGATCATAAAACGGTAGCCAGTCTGCACGGCTGATGCTTTTGACCTTGGCCAATCCCCCAAGGTCATGATGCTTGAGCTCATCTTGTCTCCTCTCTCTCTGCAGGCTGTGTCGGAGGGCCCAAGGGATTGCCAGGCCTGCCAGGACCCCCGGGCCTCACAGGTAAGGCGGCAGGACCCGGGAGGACACCCAGCCTTCCATTTTTCCTCTCTGTCCATCCCCCCCCAGCCCCTCTTCCCACCCCAGACTGGCCGTGTCCAGCATCCCAGCTCCCTTCCACAAACCAGAGTCACTCCTGCAGGAAGCCGACACTCACTCCCAGCTGTAGAAAGATGTGCCTGTTCACTGACACTTGGTAGAGGTCAGGCTGGAAGAGAAGTCCAGTCATGGCCTTCAGGGACACCCGCGGGGCAGAGACCAAAGCCCCTGTTTATGTAGGGCACACACTTCTGTATGCATTAGTATTCTGTGCCTTTCCATCCCAGGGAAGAACCTGTGGAGAGGATTCTTTCTCTTGGGCTTTGATTGACAGGAACAGAAATGAACAGGGCGCGGTTTCTTTTTCTTTGAATAGCTTTAGGGGGTACAGATGGTTTTTGGTTACACGGATGCCCTGGGTGGCAGCAAAGAGGTCTGGGCTTTAGATGTCCGCACCACACACTGAGTGTCCACAGTGTGCCTGACCTTCTCGGGCCTCATCCTGGGGGTCGCGAGAAAGGGTCTACCCAGCTCAAGCCCCCCTGCAAAGCATCCGTCTCATATCTTGACACTACTCTGGGATCTGACAGAGGCAGAGATGAGGGGCTGTCCCCACCGTCCCCCGTGCTAGGACCCCGCACTGTCAGTCTGAAGAGTGCGCCCCCTGTGGGAACGCTCCCAGTGTCTCAGAGGACCAGGGAGGACCAGAAGACCTCAGGCCGCAGTTGCATCTCCTGGCGGGTCTCTGGCAAAGGCCTCAGCGCCCATGTCTGGGTTTCTGGGGCTCCCGGGTCACGCCCAGGTTCCCCCTGCAGGGCAGCCCTACTCACCTGCACGACTCCTCCCTGCACTTCTGCACATGCATCCCCACTTTCCAAAGGGGAAGGGATGGGTTTGTGACAAACACCAGCCCCTTAACTCTCGGCACATTCGTGGCACTCACGTCCCGGGCCACACAAGGCTCAAGTGTTTGACCAGAGTTTCCTCACAGCGCTCCACGAAGCAGGCATCATCATTCTCCCCATTGTACAGATCAGGAAACTGAGGCACAGAAAAGTTCAGATACCTGTCCAAGGTCATAGAGACTAGGTAGGACCAAAATTCGCAGCCAGGCATTCTGACCCCTCACCCAAAACCCTCTGTTAATCCACTATAGAATCTTGAAGTTGGATGTTATTCTTCTTACAGTTTGAGTCCTTGCACAGGATTTTAAACACTGAAAGTCATTCTGCATTTCCTGGGGTGCTGTTTTAGGGTTCACATCCCCCCACCCTCATCATTTCCCAGTTTCATGAGAGACCACATGAAGTCAGGGGCCACACGTGGCCACAGCCATCCGTCCTCGTGGGACTTGATGTGGTCTGTGGCTTCTTTGGGCGTTTAGGTGCCAAAGGCCCCAGAGGGGTGCCAGGATTCTTGGGAGCGGATGGAACACCGGGACTCAAGGGCCTCCCGGGAGATCCCGGTCGTGAAGGATTCCCAGGACCCCCAGGTAAGTCAGGGATCGGACCTCCATGGGGCCTCAGAGGTTCGTGAAGGGACTTGTGTGTGTGTGATCAGGAACCCCCCAGCTCTGGTATCTTCCTGTATTTAGAAACTATTTCGACAGTACCTGTCGGCTTTTGTGCTTGTTCTTGGGAGGTTCAAAATTCTTGACTTTTTAATCACTTAATTCCATGCTAGATTTTTGCAAAGGACACCACAGACCTTGTAGGAAAAAAAGAGACAGGCATTGCAGAAAGATTGTCCTCTGATTGGTATTAAACATTCTGAGGACAACCTCATCATATCCTGTCTCAAGATGATCACTAAAGGAACAAATAGTGCCCTCCTGACAGACTCCAAGTCTAGTGCTCACTCACCAGATACCACACAAGGAACATCTTTTGCTTTTTGAGGCCTTACCCATGCAAGCTTCAGTTTTCAGCCTGTCTAGGGTAAATGACTCGAACCATTCCATCGCCATTTTGACACAGCAAAGAATTGCAGAAGCCACCATGGCTGAAAGAGCTTGAACGTGCGTCCCATAATGCACCATGGTGTGGAGAGCTTGTGCCCAGCCGGCTCTGTAAAACAGTCTGGCGTCTCCAGGCCCAGAGCACATTGTGGTTGTGACACAAATGGTGTTGAGAGGGCCTGACCGCACCCCCTTGATCACAGGCACATGAGTTTTCTGCTGGGTTTATCTACCTAAGACTGTCAACATCATGACGGCCAACTTTTCACCCAGGGCAAAACACCCTTCCACAGGGCCCTGGGCGGGTGCTCCAGTCTCTGCTGGAATCACTCATATCAACCAGGACCTGTGGGACACTGGCACCCTCTTGTTGCTAGAAGGTTCCTTCCTCTTTGGAAGACAGTCTGCCTCCCGGTGAGTGCTCACAGGGCTGTCCTTCGAGCTACATGGCTGACTTCCTTGTCACCCATGCACCGAGAAAGGTCACATCTTCCTTGGCGTCTCATGGGCGGCAGACCCGGCCCCATCCCCTGCCCTCGGAGTTCTGATGGTCCTGGAACTTGTCAGCATTCCTTCCAGAAGTGAATAGAATGCTCCCCACGTCAGGAATGTCACACAGAACAGTGAGACGTTGTGTCCTTCGCTTTAGACACTGGGCCAATGTTTTCAGCCAAGAGTCATTTAAGCCGCCCCCTCCCTGGCCTGCCCGTGGTTCACCGACCTAAACCTGACCGTGGAGTTGGGTGTGAGTGCCGATGGATTTTCTCTCTCGGAATTCAGTGTTGCAGCCTGTAGAGACTTGCAGGGCCTGGCCCTGTGGCCTATACACATGTTACACGTTACTCTGTGATTGTGTAAAACTGGGACGCTTGCTTCCTGCGTCTTTATCAAGGCACCAGTAAAACACCTGCACAGGAGGAAAGCAAAGGGAAGTTCGCAGCCCTCCACCCCGGAGGACGGTCTGTGCTGTTGGGAGTGTCTAAATGTTTAGAAATCACAGCACTGCCAACTCTGGCAACTTCACGCATACACGCTGAAGTGCACCTTGTTTTGAGAGCAGGATGGTCATCGATGGATGGCTTCTTGAGTGCCACGACAGCTTCCCGGCAGTCATGGCTGGCATGCACAGAGTCATACCCAGGGTGCTTCTGGAGTGGAGACAGAGTGGGCTGTGCCCGTCAGCAGCTGGTGTGGGCACGTGCCAGTCCTAGTGGAAGGTCTGTTCCATCTGGAAATGTAAGGCCCTCCATGAGCGGGGGGGTTGGGTAGGTCAGAGGAGAGGGGAGGTAAAGAGTGCATGTCACTCTTTGTGGCGCTGAAGTATACCCCACGCGGAAAACGGGAGAATGCCCGGCTTCAAAGATTGCAAAAGACAGAGCGTCCATTCCTGATGTAAGAGTCACAGGTGCAGACCTCAGTGCACAGCTCCCAGGGGCACTGTTCACAGTTCCAGGAAGGCCAGGTCTCCGCCTCAGGGGACTAAGTCACACCGTTCCTCTCAAGGCCCAGCTGAGCAGCGTCGGGTTAGTCCAGAGCCTGTGCTCTGGCTTCCAGCTTGGACTTGCCGGTCACCTGGCTCGCAGACGGGGTCAGCCTTACTGGCCAGGGGAGACCAAAGCCCTGCTCCCTGGATCTTTTTGCTTGGATGTGCTGTGCAGGATGGGTGGAAGCTTCCTTTTAGGGCGTGGAGCCTGCTGGGACGTGACCCTTTCCCCAGAACCACTTCCCAACTGCAGGCTTCTCTCCCACACCCACCGCTGAGGGGTTGGTGACCTCAGGGCCTCTCCTCCGTCACTCGTGACTGTCAGTTGTGGGAGTTCACTCTGGGGCCATGTCGGGACCGAGTGCTGGCAGGGGAAGTGACTGATGAGGTCATTTGACCAGTGGCACCCACGAAAGGCACATGACAGCCACCATCTCTACACCCACAGATAGTACTACATGACCTTCCCACAAGGTGACAGTAGTGTTGGTTCCTCTTCTAAGCATTTCCAAACCTCAGGATGACCAGGCACTGGTCACCAGGGAGGCGGTCTAGGGAGGCAGGTGTTGGCTCTGATGGCTCTGGTCGTTATGGTCAAGACTCAGGCTGGGGCTAGAGTTAGGATCAGGACTAAAGCTAGGAGTTAGCGTTAGGGTCAGGGTTAAGGGTTAGGATCAGGGTTAGGGCTAGGGGTTAGTTAGGGTCAGGGTTAGGGGCTAGATTTAGCATCAGGGTTAGGGCTAAGGGTTAGTGTTAGGGTCAGAGTTCGGGCTAGGGGTTAGAGGTTAGAGTTAGGATGGGTTAGGGGTTAGAGTTATGGTTAGGATAAGGGTTGGAGTTAGGACCAGGGCTAGGGGTTTGAGTTAGGGCTAGAGTTTATGGTCAAGGTTTAGGGTTAGGTGTTAGGGTTGGGGTTAGAGTTTGGTTTTAGGTTTAGAGTTAGGTTTAGGGCTAGGGTTAGGGATTAGAGTTAAGATTAGGGATTAGAGTTAGGGTTAGGGTAAGCGTTAAATTTAGGGTTAGGGTTAGGGTCTGGGTCAGGGTTAATGGTTAGATTTAGGGTGAGAGTTCGGCCTAGAGGTTAGAGTTAGGATCTGAGTTAGAGGTTAGAGTTAGGGTGGGTGAGGGGTTAGAGTTAGGATTAAGATCAGGGTTTGATTTAGGGTCAGAGTTAGGGCTGTAGTTTTGAGTTAGGACTAGGGTTTATGGTCAAGGTTTAGTGTTGGTGTTAGAGTTAGGGTTGGGGTTAGATCTAAGATTAATTTTGAGGTTAATTTTAGGCTAGGGCTGGGGTTAGAGTTAAGATTAGGGGTTAGAATTAGGTTAGGGTTGGTGTTAGATTTAGGGTTAGGGTTAGGATTAGGCCTAGGATTGGGGTTAGGGTTAGGATTAGAGTTAGGGTTATGACTGGGTTTATGGTTATGGTTAGGATTAGTGTTATGGCTGGGGCTGGGACTCGGCCCTGGTCTCATCTCTCTGGGATTTCCTGTCACACTGCTCTGTTCCTCCCTGGCACACACAATCAGGAAGTTTCCACAAAAGTTATTCCTTGGAGGTTATTTGCATGCATGGCGCACCCTTGAATCATGTGGACATAAGTCTAGGAAACAGTTGTTCTTGGGTCTTGTCCACCTCCCTAAGCTTTAGGACTGGGGGCCGTTGGCTGAAGGAGGGAGGCAAAACTTGCCTGCAGGACGATGACATGGTGAGGGGTCCCAGGCTGGACCTTGAGTGAAGGGCTCCTCCTAGAACCCGCAGCGGGGTTTGTTGTCATAATGCCGACTTGTGGCTTGGGGCCCACCCTCGTTTCCTTTCAGGCTTCATCGGACCCCGAGGATCCAAAGGCACAGTGGGCCTCCCTGGCCCAGACGGATCCCAGGGTTCCGCTGGCCTGCCAGGGCCAGCCGGGCCTCCCGGGGACAGGGGGCTTCCTGGTAAAGTCCTGGGTGCCCAGCCCGGGCCCCGGGGAGACGCTGGCCTGCCTGGCCACCCCGGGCTGAAAGGCATTCCCGGAGAAAGAGGCCCACCCGGATTCAGAGGTGAGTCACACGTCAAGGGGTTGGAGGGGCCTGGTCCCAGTCACACTGGGCTCCCAAGGGCAGGCCCGGACTCCCTCCCGGGGATTTGGTAAGAAGCAACCATGCTGCACGGTCCTAGTCTGGCTTTTTTTCTTCCCACAAATTCCAGCTTTCCTACGAATGTTTTCATGATGATATCATGTTTTCCTTCCATAGCTTGTGGGGTATGGAGACCTTTTACAAGTACAGATTTACTAATATGCTCTGTTCTCAAGTTGCACATACCTCACCAGAAAAGGTTCATTGGTTTATGTTTTTTGGGGGAGGGGTGGTTACTGGGGGTCTCCCTGTGTCACCCAGGCTGGAATGCAGTGGCATGATCACGGCTCACCACAGCCTCCACCTCCCGCGCTCAGGCGATCCTCCTGCCTCAGTCTACCAAGTAGCTGGGACTAAAAGCATGCACCAGCATGCCTAGATAATTTTTTTTTTAATTTTTTTGTAGAGACAAGGTCTCGCTATGTTGCCCAGGCTGACCCCAAACTCCTGGCCTCAAGTGATCCTCCCGCCTCGGCCTCTCAAAGTGCTGGGATTATTGGTGTGAGCCACCACCCTGCCCACTCGCTGGTTTTACCAGCAGAATCAGAGGCTTAATCAGAGGCTAAGGAGGAAAACAGGAATCATCTAGAAAACACTTAGTTGACTGGTGTAAAAAATTGATGCATTTTTTTTAGAAATGTCTTAATGTTGTTCACGATGTTATCAATGCATGGCTAGCAAAGTAGAAAGACCCCCAGGGCTTGATGAGTGACTGAGGCATCGGATGGCTTGAACTATCCAAACCGGCATGCAGCCCTCAAACCCGAGCTGCAGTGGAAGGCGGGGTCACTGAAGAGTGGGGTTTACACTGGGTGAAGCCCGTGCTGGAGGCTGCAGGGTCTTTGCCACCCGCTATTTAGAGACCCAGTGGGAAATAAATATGCGGGAGAACGGCGACTTGCTGTGTGTCAGCCGTGTCTCTGTGGACAGCACTGGCATTAGTTCCTGCTGCCTGTCCCAGGCCGAGGGGACCTCTGAGGTGCAGGAAGCGTGTCCCTCCCTGCCTCTGCCACCAGCCCACAGCAGGCCTCCAGGGCAGTTGGACGCTTGTGCAGGCGGTGCACAGGCCTCGGCTGGCAGAGTCTCTCAGAGCAGGGGAAGCCATCAGCTCCCAGCCAGGCCTCGAGGGGGGTGGGACACGGGACAGGTGACAAGACAGGCCTGTACACCTGCTGACACCGGTGAGGAGAACCCCTGTGGGTGCTGTGGTTCACGGAGAGAGGAAGACCCTGAGATGGCTAGAGTGCATGCATGCACATGCAAGCTCACAGCCACTCCTGCACACACACATGCACTTGTCACTCCTGCACACACGTAAGTGCTCACACATGATCATACACCCACACACACACACTTGCACGCACACACATGCACTCACATGCACTCACACAGAGCCCTGAACCAAGCCAGGTGTGCAGGTCTCGGATAAGATGGCCGAGCGCTGGACACCCTGTTTTGTGCCGCCTGGGTCTGCCCCTCCCAGCTTTATTTACTACCTCTGGACCATCGATGGGGCACAAGGTGCCACCCAGTGGCCGTCAGTAGAGACGGAGGGTGGGATCCCCGTGCCAGCCTACCTGGGGTACTTGGACGAGCTTCGATGCTCGTGGAAGGTGGGCACACATAGGCATCTGGCGTGTCCCTCCCCATCTGCTCTGCCGTCCAACTGCACAAGCCCCACCTGGGCTCTTCTGCACATGGGCACTTACGTAGGTTTTTTATTTTTTTTTACCTTAGCTATTTCCTGAAGACTTTAAAATGTTTGAGCATAGAAACAAACACAACCACAGGTTGCCTTTAGATGCTGTATTAAAGTCTCCACCGTGACCGGGTCACCTTCAGGACAGGTTTCACGTGCCTTGTTAGGTGGAATATTTCATTTCTAGATCCCAAAGCGTGACATTGCAAGGAACCATTTTGGTTTCAATTCAGTTTGCCAATGCCACGGGACAGACGAGGCCTGCTTTTGTTCGGCAGGCCACGCGGGGCCCGCCATGAGGACACACACACCCCCTACGTTTCTGAGCAGAACTTGCACGAGTCCACACATAGACGTCATTTAGCTGAGGGAAGGTTTTTTTTTTTTTTTTTTAGAGACAGAGTCTCACTCTGTAGCCCAGGCTGGAGTGCAGTGGTGCGTTCATAGTTCACTACAGGCTTGAACTCCTGGACTCAAGTGATCTTCCTGCCTCAGCCTCCCAAGTAGCTGGGACCATAGGCATGAGCCACCACACCTAGATATTTTTTTTTAATGATTTCTATAGAAACAGGGTCTTACTGTGTTGCCCAGGCTGGTCTCAGACTCCCGGCCTCAAGCAATCCTCAGCCTCCCATAAAACTGGGATTACAAGCATAAGCCACAGTGCCCAGCCAGAGGGAAGTTGATTTTTAGCAGTTGTTCCTTTTTTAACAGATAATCTATAAATGGACACTGACCTGGAATATTCCGTTCCCAGAAAGTGATCACGTAAACAGCTGAAAGAGCAAAACACCCAGTGCCTGACTTTTGCAAGATCCCTAAAGTAGCAGCAATCCTTTCTCTTTTTTTTAAGTGGGATAGCAGGATTTATTGAGAGGACAGAAAACCTCCCACAGTGGGAGGGGCCCCAAAGGGGTTGCCAGCAGCAATCTTTACAAGTGCGTTTACCTGCGACCTGTGCTGTCTGCTTCTGGGAGGGCAAGCACTGTGGTGTCACGCCCAGACCGTCCTTTGCCCCCTCGGCCCCTGCTCTGGCTGCCTCTCATGCTCCGTGCTCTCGGTTTCCCCCGTGGCCTCCCAGTCCATTGGCTGGGCATGCTGAGTGGCACCTGCCAGCCCCTGCCCCCACCCTCGTGGAGAGGACCTGACGTCCCTGTAAGTCCTTCCCGCCTGCAAGGCTGCCAACCTGCTCTGGCAAGACCATGAGCGCCCACCTTCTGCTCCAGCAATCCCGTCTTCCCTGGGCTCTTCATCCTAAACATAGAAAACTTGAACAGCAGAACTGTCCTCCTTCCCCAGGGCCGTGGGAGTAGGTGAGAATGTGTATCCATGAACTTCAGGAATCTCGGCTCCAGACATCTCGCTGGAGTCCACTTCCAGCTCACCCAGCGTCTCTCTTGCTGCTGTTTACACAGACAATGGGAGAGTCAGGACCCTGACCTCAGGGGCTATCTTGATTCTAGGCTGACCCGGTCCCTCTAGTCTCTGTCTCCCCTCTTCTGTCACCCCATCTGCCTCCCTGTCTCAGGCCACACCTGCAAGATGGTTGTGGGCTACATGAGAAAGTGCCCAGAGAGTCACTGTAGGAGCAGGCATTGCTACAGTACTCATTCAGGTGGTACCTATAACAAGCTGTGAGCTCTAAAAGGGGCGTAAATGCCTCCATATAAGGCGGTCCAGGGAGCTTGTGTTTAAAATATGTATATACTAGGAGAAAATACAAGATCATATCTTCCCACTGGATAAGACATGATATCCTAAACATAAAATCAAAATATCACACAAAGGCACATGCACACACACAAATACAAAAAATTAGTATACAAATGTCAATATTGTACACATCATACACAAAATTGAACTTTGAACAACAAAGTAGAAGAAAGTTTACAATAGATATGAAGGAACGTTAGTCAGCAAAGATGGGTTCTAAAATCTATTAGAAATGTACCAAAATCCCCAAAGAAAAAGATAAGCAAATACTTAGAACTTCAGCAAAAAGCAAAAACTAGGAGAAAGAGCTGTCGCTGATACACAGGTTTCGCCCATCGTGTTTGCTGATTTCTGTTTTGTCTCAGTGCCACACTCCATGCTGAGAAAACACAGGTCGGATAAACTGGTGATGTTTTTAAAACATTGTATTTGTGTGGCCTTTGGCCCACAAAGTCAATTTCTCTGGCGGTTTCCCAAAGAAATTATCTACAACCTGGGTATAGATATACCCCCACAAACGCCAAAACTGTTCCTCGCAGCTCTGTTTGTGATCATGAAGGAAGAGGGGAGAGGGGTGAGGTACATTGAACATCTCCATACAATGGAGTTTTATCATGCAGTCATTTTAAATGCTTGCAAAGAATCTGTTTAAATGTGACAAAATCCTCAAAATAGAATGTCAAGTGAAAAAAAAAGGCTAGATTAAAATTGTGCTCAGAGTGCAGTATCAACTCTGCCAAGGTCTATTTCTGGGTTTATTTAGAGGAATAGAAAAAGGCAGGAAGGAAATAAAACAAGGTGTTTGTAATTATCCCCGGATGATAGTGTGAGTTTCCTGGGTTTCATCTTTTGTACGTCTTTGTATTTTCCAGATGTCCTACAACCCAGAAAATAAAACAAGTACTATTTTGATAGGATAAGGTTCTGAAGGTGGGTGTTGTCTGTGGTGAACCATGCAAACTTGACCCCACAGCTCTGGTCTCTGATTTCCGCAGGAAGCCAAGGGATGCCGGGAATGCCGGGACTGAAGGGCCAGCTGGGCTTCCCGGGGCCTTCAGGCCAGCCAGGACTACCTGGGCCTCCAGGACAACACGGATTTCCAGGAGGCCCTGGCCCAGAGGGACCCTTGGGGCTGACAGGTGCCCCAGGCCTTGGAGGTAAGACTCAAGTCCTCCCATAAATGGGCGGGCTCCTCACTGGTACCCACAGTTGAACTAGCCCTGCCATCCACAGGAGTTCTCAGACTGTGTTCCAACGAATCTCTCCAAGAGCCGCCAGGGTTCCAAACCAGTACATGTATTTTCCCAAACCAGGAAAATGTAAACAGCCTGAGAAATCAGCTCATCTTTTGTACCTGTGATCCATATTGGGGATCTAGATAAGATTTTATTGGGGGGGTGGAAGAAATTTTCGTCACTGGTGTCCAAAATCACTACCCTGATTGTGAGGAGGAGAAACTGTCTGCTGAAAGTGCATGATTTGCAAAGGAAAGGGACATGGCTCCTTCAGGAGAGCCAGGGAACAGACCAGAGGAGCAGAGGAGAGGGAGGTGAGAGGCAGTCCACGTGCCCGCTGGAGCCCCACGGACAGGCAGCACCTGCCACACAGACACTGAGGCAGTGGCAGAGCAGGACAGAAGGCAGCCGGGGGCACCATATCCCATGGGCATCGTCCAGGCGGGTAGATCGCCACTACCCAGCCCGGGACACGTTTGGCATGGCAAATGCAATTGGCGTGGCAGTGGCCCCAGGTTTCTGGACTTCACAGCCCAGTGAAATGGTCCATCGAGGTTTTGGGGTAGCCACAGGGGGTCCCAGCTATTTGGGTTGCCCAGTAAGGACAGTGCCATCACCGTGGCATCACCAAGGGACACCGTGACTCCAAAGGAGGGCAGACACAACTGCTTGGTAAGGCTCCTCAGTGGACCGTGCTGGCCTCTTCGGATCTCCCAATTTCACCAGAATTCTCTGGGTTAGCACAGATGCCAGCTCTGTGGAGGACCCCGGCCGGTCTGTGCTGGGGAACTGCTGGGCCACACACAGACCTCACTGACAGCATGCATAGCCCTCGTGTGGGCCACATGGAGACCTCACATAGACCTCACGTAGAGCACGTGTAGACCCCACGTAGACCACATGCAGACCCCACACGGGCCCCATGTAAACCATGCATAGACCTCACATAGAGCATACCTAGACTTCACATAAGCCCCATGCAGACCTCGTGGACAGCGTGCATAGCCCTCACGTGGGCCACACAGAGACCTCACATAGATCTCACATAGAGCACGTGTAGAAGCCACATAGGTCACATGCAGACCCCACATAGAATTCACGTAGACCACATGTAGACCTCACATAGACTTCATGTAGACCACACATAGGCCTCACATAGAGCATGTATAGACCTCACGTAAGCCACATGTAGACCACACATAGACCACATGCAGACCTCACATAAACTTCACTTAGACAACACGTAGACCACATGTAAACCCCACATAGACCACACGTAGGATAGGCCTCATGTAGACACATAGACCACACGTAAACTCATGTAGACTTTACATGAACCACAAGCACATCTCACATAGACTATATGTACACATCATGTAGACCACACATCATGTAGACCACACGTAGACCACATGTGGACCTCATGATGACACCATGGAGACCACACATAGTCTCACATAGACCTCACATACACAGACCACACATAGATCACACGTAGACCACACATAGACATCATGTAAACCATGTAGACCACATGTAGACCACACAAACTCACGTAGACCTCACAAACCACACACAGACGTCATGTAGGCCACATATAGAGACTCTTCCGTACACACTGGCTTCCACCACAAGGGGTCTTGCCCGTATCCCGAGTCTGGGGTGGCCTCAGGTGGGCCCAATGTCCCACGTGCCCCCGGTGCCACTGGCTTCACAGGGCAGCAGTCATGGGCAGGTTTGGACCTTCTGCTGCTGGATTCTCAAGGCCTCTCCAGTTCTCATCAGAGCGCAGGGCATCACGTGGCATGTGGCCGGCCCGTGGACAGACCCGCCCTGAAGGAGCCCACGCCTCAGCTGAGGAAAGAGTCACACGTGAGAAGGCTCTCACTGGTCAGGCCAGCCAGGAGAGTGGCCTCTGAGTAAAGACGTCTTCAGGCCACGTGCAGCGGCTCATGCCTGTCGTCCCAGCACTCTGGGAGGCCGAGACAGGAGGGACGCTTGAGCCCGGGAGTTCAAGACCAGCTTGGGCAACACAGCAAGTCCTCATCTCCACCAGAAAAAATCAGCTGGGCATGGTGGCGCATGCCTGTAGTCCCAGCTACTTGGGAGGCTGAGGCAAAAGGATCACCTGAGCCCGGGAGTTTGAGGCTACAGCGAGGTGTGATCGTGCCACTGCACTGCAGCCTGAGGAACAGAGTGAGACTTCGACTCAAAACAGATTCCCTAAGAGCATAAGAAATGTCTTCTCTCTCTCTCTCTGTGTATGTGTGTGTGTGTGTGTGTTCATCCTCTGATTTTGCTTCCTCCTCTTTCCGGCAGGTCTGCCTGGGGACAGAGGGGAGCCCGGGGACACAGGCGTCCCCGGCCCTGTGGGCATGAAAGGCGTCTCTGGTGACAGAGGAGATGCTGGCATGTCAGGAGAGCAAGGCCATCGAGGGAACCCTGGATTTAAAGGAATGCTTGGGATGCCTGGCACCCCTGGGCTGAAAGGTAATTGTGTGACCGTGGCCAGGTGGTCACCTTTTCAGGGGGTTGGGCCAGTGACACTCCGAGCCAGGGCAGCTCTGCTATGCACTGGGGACTGTCGGGAGGCTGGCCTCACACACCTGCTTGCAGGCCTGAGGCCTCAGGACCTCCCCACCCAGGAGGCAGCAGCCCAGGAAGGCTGACTGCCACTACCCAGACTCAGGTGGCACCCAAGAGCCTCAGAAAGCCAGTGTGTTACCTTACCAAGAGAGACGGCTCTTGTCCGAGAAATGGACTTAGCACCTGCATGGGGACACGGGGGAGGAGGCCCACCCAGGAGGCTAGATCTAGAGCCAGAGGCTGTTGGGTAAAAACAGAACTGAAACGTCTCTCTGGAGTCCTGCATCACTCCCGGTGTGCCTCTGGACTTCTCCGTGATGGCCGTGTTCCTGGTCCCCTTCCACACTCCGTCCTTGCCTCCCTGCCTGACTCTGTGACTTCCCAACGCCCATGCTGAGGACAGACTGACTCTGTAATCCTGTCTGTGGACACAGAGGTCACGGAGAAACATCTTTAGCACCTGGTGGCCCGGAAATGCCCATTTGGGGCTCAAATCACTTGGATCCCACTGTCCCCGTCATGGGGACGCGAGGCAGCCCTTTCCTGGGCATTTCAGCCCTGCCTAACCCCTCACTTCTCTCTTTTCCTCTGAAGGAGACAGAGGCTCCCCGGGGATGGACGGTTTCCAAGGCATGCCTGGACTGCAAGGACGACCCGGCTTTGGAGGAAGCAAAGGAGAGGCTGGATTTTTTGGAATTCCTGGTCTGAAGGGTTTGGCTGGTGAGCCGGGTGTCAAAGGTATGCCCCTCTCTCTCTCTCAGGATCTTCCGTACGTGGGCCAGACTCACTCGTGTGTGTAACATTCTCAGAATGAATCAGACTCCACCACATCCAGGAATCCTAAAGCCAGACGCTGGTAAAACAAACAACAGACATGGCTGGGCACAGTGGTTCACGCCTCTAATCCCAGCATTTTGGAGGTTGATGTGGGATGATGGCTCAAGGCCAGGAATTTTGAGATCAATCTGGGCAACACAGCGAGACCTTGTCACTACTAAAAATAAAAATAAATTAGCTGGGTAAGATAGCACATGCCTGCAATCCCAACTACTCTGGAGGCTGAGGCAGGAGGATAGCTTGAGCCTAGGAGTTTGAGGCTGCAGTGAGCTATGATTGCACCACTGGCCTCCAGCCTGGGCAACAGAGCGAGACCTCATCTCTAAAACAAACAAACAAACAGACCAAACTAGCAATGGTGGGAAGCCTTCACCCACGCGTCAACACGCTGACAGTGATCAATAGTCCTATCCAAAGGAGACTCTTGGGGACACAATGATGGCACCAGTGAGAACCAAATGTGTCATTAAAAATGTAGTCCTCCATGCCTGCTCCATCGACAGCGTGAAGAGGGAGACCAGGTGCACAGAGGGGACAGGTGAATTCCAAGCGAGGGGAGGGCCGCATGGCTCAGGAGAGCACAGTATCCCAGGTGGAAGGACATCACCGTGCCCACTGTGTCAAGAGGTTGTGACCACAGATGAGGTGGGTGCCTCGGAGGGGAGGCACCTTGTTCACCGACGTTATTACCAACAAGTCGCATTTTCATGACAACTGTCCTGACGCCTTTGTCCCAAAAACATCGAGTGGTCCTAAAAGCACAATTCTAATTGCAAGTGCTTGGGAGGATGTGGAGAAACAGGGACCCCCACACGCTGCTCATGGGAAGGCAAAATGCTGCAGCCATTGTGGCAATTTATGTTTTTTATTTATTTGAGTCAGGGTCTCACGTTGTCACCCAGGCTGGAGTGCCATAGCATGGCCATGGCTATCGCAGCCTTGACCTCCTGGGCTCAGGCAATCCTCCCACCTCAGCCTCCCGAGTATCTGGGACTACAGGTGCGTGCTCCCATATCCAGCTCATTTTTTCACTTTTTGCAGAGACAGGGTCTCGCTGTGTTGCCCAGGCTGGTCTTAAACTCCTGGGCTCAAGTGATCCTCTGCCTCGGCCTCCCAAAGTGCTGGGATGACAGGATGAGCCATCACACCTGACCTAGTTTGGCAATTTATTAAAAAGTTAACCCAGAAATTCTACTTCTAGCTGAGGATCATTGGAAATATGCGTACGGGCAGAAACGTGTGCACAATGTTCAGTGTTCACAGCAGCGTTACCCAGAGCAGCCAAAAATGAGTCTGTCTGTGAGCGGGTAAATAAAATGCAGCACAGCCGTGCAGGGGACCATTCCACCATAAAACAGCAGGAAGTCCCACCACGTGCTACAGTGCTGGTGGACCCTGATAACCTCATGCCACGTGCGATCTGGTTCCGTTTCTGGGAAATGTTTGGAGTCAGCAAATCTACAGAGAGGAAGAAAAGATAAGGGCTCCCAGGGCTGGGAGGAGCCGTCAGGGAGGATGCTCGGGGCCACAGGGCTCATTCTCTGCGATGAAAATGTTCTCATGTGCGATCATGGTGATGCTTACACTAAAAGCCAAGTAACTGTTCTCTTTTCTTTTTTTCTTTAATTTTTTTTGGAAGATGTGGGGTACAATTCAGATTTAGGTATACAAGTGGCCATTGTTCAGGTAAAGTGTGGGCCTCCCTTTGGTCCTTACTTCACCTGGTTTGGGATCAGGTACCTTTATGGATGTTAGGTGTCCTGCACCCACCCTGCCATAACTGTCCTCTTTAAAGGAGCCAGCTATACGATACATAGCTTATACATCAACATAGCGAGAGCCTGTCTCTACATTTTTAAAAAACCTTAGTTACTCCCCAAAGAGTTTCAACTTTTGCAAATGTTCAACAAAATCAAAACTGCAATGGAGGGCACTGATTTTCCCAAGATTTTTGCTCACCCTTGCGTTTTCCAGTCATCTTCATGTTAACTTGGAGATATCAGGTCATCAAATAAGAAGTGATATCTTTAAATTCAATCTAACATGTCACGGGGTGTGGTGGCTCATGCCTGCAATCCCATCATTTTGGGAGGCCAAGGCGGGAGGCCAAGAGTTCGAGACAGTCTGGATAACATAGTGAGACCTCATCTCTACAAAGAATCAAAGGATTAGCCGGGCATGGTGGCACGGGCCTGTAGTCCCAGCTACTCGGGTGGCTGAGGCAGGAGGATCGCCTGAGCCCAGGAGGTCGAGGCTGCAGTGAGCCATGATCATGTCACCGCACTCTGGCCTGGACAGAGTGAGACTCAGACTGAAAATATATATATATATTTTCCATATATATATACACACACATATATATGGAAAATACAATGTACCCTTTCTTGGCTCCCACACCTATTCCTTCAGTCCCACCACAGCTTCTCCGAGTGTCAAAGGTATGCCCCTCTCTCTCTCTCTCAGGATCTTCCTTACGTGGGTCAACTCCTTGGGATGGAATTGACCGTGCATGTGTGTCTCACCCCTGGGCACAGGCTCTCTGAGGACAGGAGCAATCTGTGGTTTTGAGCCCCCCAATATCTAGCCTAGCACTAAATATTCCCTAAGTGCTCAATGAATGAGAGCGAGCTGTTTTCATTTGGCCAAATTTCACTCACTCCCGCGAGGGTGGACTCAGGGCCGTCTTGACCTGGGCCCACAGTTCCATTCCCTGCTGGCCAGCGACTCCGGGGCCCTCAGCCCCTGCAGTCACTCACTCCTCAGAAGCCCACATGCCACCCCCTGTGGCTGTCACCTCCCAACTCTGGTTGATCCTTGGGGTATCCCCAAGGCCAGCTGGGCACAGGTCAACCAGGAGCTGGCAGAAGGGGAGCCCCCTTCCCGAGCCTTCTGCCATGATGGAGTTGGACTCGCCTCATCAGCGCACACGTAGGAAAGTAGCTCACTCCCACGAAATGCCACGTGTAGCCACGGGGGCCTGGGTGGGTCTCTCTGTCGCCTTCTTGCTGCCCTCGGTATCCCCTGGCAGGTGCGGCCATCCACCTCCAAGTTCTCTGCTTGGTGACGTCGTCCACGGGGCCACGGGGCCCTGTCCCCCATCCCGCTCTGCTCTGGTGGAGGAAGGAGGGAAGGACAGAGGGACAAGGGAGAAAGGGGGGGGAGGAACCCTCCACCTGGGTCTCTCTCCGAGGTGTCCTGGTTTGGGGGAGGCGTGCACACCCAGGGCTTGTGACCCAGGCCGTGGCCCAGAACTCCCCAGAAACGACCACTTTCTGCTCCCTTCCAGGCAGCCGAGGGGAGCCCGGCCTCCCAGGACCTCCCCCCGTCATCCTGCCCGGAATGAAAGACGTCAAAGGGGAGAAGGGCGATGAGGGCCCGATGGGGCTGAAAGGCTACCTGGGCTTGAAAGGTGACGCATCAGCTGACCTCCGACCCGCCACTTGGGCTCCTCCTCCCGGAAGCCCGCCCGCCCCCGCCCTGCCGCCCCCCCCCACCACTGAGACACCCTTGCACTCCGCCAGACTCTGCTTGGCCTAAGGGCCCAGTGCCCTCGTGTCCCACGCTGGGCTCCCAGCCGTTGCCTCGGGAGGAGGCTGACGCCCTGAGGCCTGGGTGGCTTTGCCTTCCCCTCTGAAGACCTCTCGAACTCAGGACTGCAAATTTGAAAGCTGCGGGAGGGAGGGTGCCGTGTCCTCACCAGAGCATTGCACTGGGGTCTCCCTGCAGGTCTCCAAGGAATGCCAGGGATCCCTGGGCTATCGGGCGTCCCTGGGCTGCCTGGGAGGCCCGGCTACGTCAAAGGAGTCAAGGGAGACATCGGAGTCCCCGGTGTGCCAGGTTTGCCAGGATTCCCTGGAGTGGCTGGCCCTCCCGGAATTATAGGATTCCCGGGGTTCACAGGAAGCCGGGTGAGTGGTGTCTGCTGCTCAACTTGTTCTCGTGGGCTCCCCTGTCCTTTGCTTCTTGACAAAAGCACTTGGGTCTGGCATTTACGGGGGTGAGCGTGACCCTGTTTCGGGTTCCAAGTCAGCCTCTCGGGATGCTCTGGGTCATGGACTGATGGAAGGATGGTGATGTGCGTGTCTACCCAGCAGCTGTTGACCCTTTCATGGGCGTGTGTTGGATGAAACGTGATGTGTGCGTTTTTTTTACATGGGGGCCTTGAGAGAACAGAATTGGATGTCCAGAGATCAGCACACTAAATCTGACCACACGTGACATCAAGCCGGACAGCGCATTGCTGATTCCCAGCAGGGACAAGAAGTTGGGCAGCTTTGATCTCCACTCAGGCCCACCATGTACTTGTTCCTTGGTTCAGCGAATGTCTTTAGAACCCACTTGCCGTGGGGCCAGACACTCTGACGTGAACAGTGGCAATGGCGAACCCTGACTCTGGCCGGGGCTTTCTCCTCTTCATGCCTGCTTCCCCACCTGTAAAATGAAGGTAGCGGCTTCCTTGCAGGTTTATGGCATGTAGTGTAGACAGCATGTGTCACCTAGCACCGAGAGGGCTGTCCCTCGGACTGTATTTGATGGAATTCTATTTTTATCCTCTTTCATGTAAAGGTATTGTACGCTCACGGTCCTCAGCACACAACTCATTCATTTCTGGCGTTCCCAGTGGGACCAGCACATTTTGGGCGAATCGGAAGGCCTAGCCACCTTGGTGGGAACCTTTAGTGACAAACTCTGGCTTGCCCATAGATCTGGACCCCCTGTGTACACGGAATTCAGGGGTCTTCCTCCTGTTACCCCCAAAATCCATAGCTGAAGGGATTGTACAGCCAGTCTTGTGTGCAGTTAGTCAGGTCACTTAAAAAAAGAAAGATGCTTATGTCTACTGTTATGACAAGTTCACAGCATCTTTACTTATAAAAGCCCCAAAATGGAAAATTGCCTCAGCATCCATCAACAGAAATAAGAATAAACATGGTACATTCAGACAGCAGACTGGTCCACAGCAAAATAAGTGCAACAACAAGTGCGACAGACTACATTTCACAGACTCTGTGTTGAACAAAATAAATCAGAGACAGAAAAGAACATGTGACTCAATTCCAAGGATGTGACATTCCAGAGCTGGAATATCTTCTGACAGTCTGATAGAGGTGTCAGAAGAGCGGCTCCCTTGAGTGGGATTATTGACTAGAAACTTTACAGAGGGCAGGAAATGTTCTCTTTACCGGATCGCCACATGAGTGACATTTCGTCGAGCTGTGCGTTTAAGACTTGTACACTCTGACTGGGCGTGGTGGCTCAAGCCTGTCATCCCAGCACTTTGGGAGGCCGAGGCCCAGGGTTCGAGACCAACTTGGGCAACTTGGGGAAACCTCATCTCTACAATATATCAAAAAATTAGCCTGGCGTGCGCCCGTAGTTCCAGCTACTTGGAAGGCTGAGGCGGAGGGATCGCCAGAGCCTAGCAGGTCGATACTGGGGTGGCCATGAGCATGCCACTGCACTCCAGTCTGGGCAACAGAGTGAGACTCCGACTCAAAAAAAAAAAGGATTAGTACACTCTATCATGTATACATTATGCCTCAAGAAAGTAAACTTTGAGAAAGGAAAAGAGATCATCATCTAACATTAATTAAACAAATAACACAGCCCGGGAAAAAACACACACACACACACACACACACAATGGAGCTGTGTTAACAATACAGAGACTCACGTGAAGCCATGCTTAGGAATCTCCATCCTACTAAAGTCTCGGGTCCATGCAAATGTGAGACTGGGGGCCCTGAGGTAGGCCAGAACTCCCACTCTCCGTCTGAGGCAGAAACCATGTTAGAGAGGAAAACTGTGGTTTCCATGAAGTCACAGAGTGACCTGGGCCTCACCCAGTGTCACTGTCAGCAGCCGACATAGCTGTGGAGAAGTCTCCCACAGGAGTCCCCAGCCACGTATCTGTTCTATACTCTAGAGAGCAATTCCTGCCACAGCAGCCCAAATGGCTATCTCAGTTCCCCAGCTTTCTAGCTGGGTGACCGTAAGCAAATCATTCAACCTCTCTGTGCTTAATCCCACTCCTCTGTCAAACAGGAAATAACAGTGCCTACCCTGTAAGGTTGTCATGAGGCATAAGTAAGTTCTTGAGATGGGACCTGACACATCTGCCCTCAGAGAGCCTGGCGGGTGAGGACAGTGCAAGCGTGGCTGCCATGACGACCACACCACCATGATAGAGGCCTGCATCATGGATGCTATTCGTGTCGATGAAGCTGCCAAGACTGTTTCTTTTTTTTTTTGAGTCAGAGTCATACTCTGTCACCCAGGCTGGAGTGCAGTGGCCCACTCGCGGCCACTGCAGCCTCGACCTGCTGGGCTCAGGCAATCCTCCTGCCTCAGCCTCCCAAGTAGCTGGAACTACAGGCACTCACCACCATGCCCGGCTAATTCCTTTTTAATTTACTGTAGAGACAAGGTCTCACCAAGTTGCCCAGGCTGGTCCTGAACCCCCGGAATCAGGCCATCCTCTCGCCTCCGGCTCCTAAAAATGCCGGGACGATGGGCGTGAGCCACCATGCCCGGCTCAGGCTTGTTCCATGTTTCTCAGTTGACAGTTTCCTAAGAACAGCTAGATCAAGCACCTGCCATGTTGTCCTGAAAAACTGCAGGCGCTTTCTGCAGAGTGACGAGACCACCAGCCATGCACGTTGTTCTGAGCATGGCCACTGATGAGATAAACACACTCCCGACTGTGTTCACCGCAGCCTTCTGAGACGCTTTCCTGTTTGCCTTCCCTTCAGGGTGAGAAGGGTGCTCTGGGCAGAGAGGGCCTGTATGGCGAGACCGGCCCTGCTGGAGACTTCGGTGAGTGCCGCCCGAACGTGGGGGGACGTCCACGGCTCAGAGCCCACCAGCGTGGGAGGCCACCTGGGATCCGCAGGCGCTGCTCGCAACTTTGACACAAACGATTCTTGTTGAGAATATAGCCCCGTAGAAGTGAAAAGCTCACCACCGCCCAGCAGGAAGACCCGTTCTTAACCACCTTATGTTGCACATCACAGGTGACATCGGGGACGCGGTAAATTTACCAGGAAGGACAGGCCTGAAGGGAGACCGGGGCGGCACTGGAGTACCAGGTACACAAGTGACCATCTGTCCTTCTTCTCCGTCAGCTGCAGCCCCAAGCCCTTGTCGGTGAGCTCGGCTTGCCAAAAGTGGTAAACCTGATGACCGCTATCAGGAATTCTGTGGGCCGTGCGGTCTTCTCGAGCTGCGGTCCCGTGGGCAGAAGGGTGGGGACTACTGTGCCCTGTGTCCTTGGAGGTGTTCTGTTTTCCCTGAGACAAGTGAGGGGTCTCTTGGGGGCTATCTGTAGCTGCCACAGGCTCGGGGAGGGGTCAGTAGAAGATCCATCCAGGGAGGAGCTTAGGTACCTGTCTGCATCCCCAGACAGAGGCACTCAGGGAGGCAGTGGCGTCATGTAGGCTGGGAATCCTACATGCACTGATGTCCTGCAGCTAGAACCCCTTGGGGTCCTATGTGCTCACCGGGCGTCCTGCACATCGGGCGTCCTGTTGCTGGGATCCCTCGGGGTCCCACCTGCACCGGGTGTCCTATGACTGGGATCCCTCAGGGTCCTACGCATGCCAGGCCCCAGGTGGACACCGTTCTGATGCCTGTTCCAAGCAACAAATCTGTGGTTGCAGGTCTAAAGGGATTCTTTGGAGAAAAGGGCTCAGAGGGCAACATCGGCTTCCCCGGGATACCAGGTGTGACCGGAGTCCAGGGCCCTCCAGGACTTAAAGGACAGACAGGTAAAGTCCTGCAGTCCCGCGGCCTTCCTTGAGCTCAGGCACCGGCTTTGTATATTCCTGTCCTTGTCTGTTCCAACCACATCCCGCTCTGGGAAGCCTGCGTTTGCACACAGCCCAGTCACCGAGCTCCCCCCGCAGGGCCAGTGGCATGAACAGAAGCCACCTCCCAGGCTGGGAGGCAGGCCTGGACATCACGGGGAGGCACAGGGACGGAAAAGGAGTGTCTCTGCGACATGCATCTGTCTCTCGTGTAAAGACGGGGTTACCTGTAGGGAGCCCTTTCATGCATGTGAGCATGCAGACAGCCATACGAGAATCCTAAGTTAGAGACGGAAAGCCGGCATGGGCTGGCTCCCACCTGCTGTGGCTGCTGTGTTTGGAGACCCCCAGAAGCTAATCTCTCAAGGCGTTTGCTTCGGGGCGGGGCTCCTGGTGTGTCAAGAATTCAAATGACATGCTCTTTTCTTGGGCAAGGCTGAGCAAATCCTATTGAACTTGAATGTGGGGGGTCTGAGGTCACGTGCATTTTCAGCTTGAAGGGAGGGTCCACTTCTCATCAGACTTGGAGCTGCAGCCCGGCTGGTCGAGGGCCCCTTCCAAAGCAACTGCCTCCACCCCAGAGTGTCTGCCCTGCGCCCTCTCACCCCCGGTGCACCAGGACCCCAGTGTGAGGCGTGGGCTGTCCTGTGTGCCCTGACTGAGTGCTCTGTTCACCCCAGGCTTTCCAGGACTGACCGGGCTGCAGGGGCCACAAGGAGACCCAGGGAGGGTCGGACGTCCTGGCGACAAAGGAACCCACGGCTGGCCAGGGGTGCCAGGCTTGCCAGGTGAGCACAGGGCACACGTGGTTCCCCGAGCAATGCCGCTCACCAGGTGGTGTCCCCAGGTTGCAGGTGAGAGCAAGCAGGTGTGTCTGCACCCACGCCTGGTGCTGACACCCCCACGGCGGTCCCGGGCTCACAGGGTCCCCGTCCAGGGGGGAGAAAGGCCCACTCTCCACAGCGTCTCACCCCAGAAGGGAGAATGAAAACCTTAGGGTCCCTCCATCGCTGTCTCCCAGCAGAGACGGGGGACAGGCTGAGTGTCTTCCCCTGCAGCCAGGAAGTAAGGTCCGGGGGTGGGACTGGAGCCTCAGAGGCTGGCCTCCTGAGAGAACCAAGGAGGCTGCCGCACCCAGCCCAGCCCTGAGACGGCCGTCCTGCCACCTGCCTGCCCACTCTGTGGCCTGTCTGTTGTGCCCGCTTGAGAAACGCTGATCCTCTGAATCCCAGGGGGAATGGGAAGGTTGCCAGTGACCGAGCACTGGGAGGAGACAGGGACACATCACCTCCCTGCTCTTGGGCTTTAACGAGTCCATGTACGAGATTCTGTAAACACGGCGTTTCAGTTCAGCGGTTCTGCCAGGTGACCCAGGAGTGGCCATTTGCCCGTTGTGTAAACTGAGTCCACGGCTTAACCGCCTCCTGTTGTGGGCTCCACAGAGGTGTGGGGGTGACGGTCTCACAGCCATCGAAAACATGTCTGAGGGACTGGTGGGCTCCCCCGCCCTCTGTGCTACCCCGCACGGGACATCACGGGTGACTTCCTCGCAGGCTTCCCGGGGATCCGAGGCATCGGCGGACTCGATGGCTTACCTGGCACCAAAGGCTTCCCAGGACCCCCAGGTATTCGCTGCCCAGCCCTGTGGCCCAGCGGGAGGGGGAAGGGAAGGTCTTGGAGCATAGAGAGTAGGGAAGTGCCATGTGGTCACCTCTGGTGGGGAGTGGGGACAGACACAGAGAGGGAGGGAGGGAGAGACATGCAGAGAGAGAGAGAGACGAGCCAGAGAGAGTGAAGAGAGACAGAGAGGGAGGAAGGGAGACAGAGACAGAGAGGAGAGAGACAGACAGAGAGGGAGGAAGGGAGACAGAGAGAGACAGAGCCAGAGAGAGAGGAGAGAGACAGACAGGGAGGGAGAGAGAGAGAGAGAGGAGAGAGACAGAGCGAGAGACAGAGACAGAGAGAGACAGAGAGAAAGAGCCAGAGACAGAGAGACAGAGACAGAGCCACAGAGAGGGCGAGCGTGTCCCGCTGTGGCGTCTCTTGTCATGAGGCTGCTGACCCCATGGTCAGGCTCCCCCCTCACGACCTTGTCTCACCAGAGGCCCAGCTCCAAGTACCAGCGCATCAGGGTTGGGAGCCAGCGGACCATTGGGCGGGGGCAGTCGGGCAGGGGACACAACTCAGTCCTCAGCAATGCCCTAGCGAACCAGGGCTTTTGGTTTCATAGGAAGAGAAACCGACACCTTGAATCGCTTTTTTTTTTTTTTTTTTGCTGCCTTTATAAACTATTCTAGCACCATTTTTTCCCTGAAGGAGATGAAGCCCCCTTATTTCCAAAAGTCAGTGCAGAATAAGGTCCGTGTCCTTACCCCTCTAGGATACGACAGTGTCACCCGGAGGTTGACTTATCCCTCCAAAGGGAACACCGCCCTTTTCTGCAGAAAGCCTCCCTTCATCTTGCTTTCCCCAGGATGCTGAGACTGTGTCGTACAGAACGACTCGGGGGTTTCCAGAAGCTTCTCTATTTTCAATTTAGCTCTCGTTCTAAGCCTTCATGCCCTTGTCTTCTCATTTAACTTTTTAATGTGATCTATTGGACTAAAAAATTACACTAGAAGGACACAGGGCCATGGGGGGAGGCGATCATTTTATTATTATGTCCTTAAAAATATATCCAACTGTTATTTTCTCTTCGATTTATAAAATGTATCCATGTTCCGTGGAGAAAGAGAAATTTAAACAAGAGGGGAGAAAGCACCCAGAGTTCTCTGGCTGCTGTTAGGATCTGCCCTTTGCAGATTTCTTCGCGTCACCAAATGCTCATCCGTCTCCAGGTAAACTGTTAGGGGTGCGTCTGTGATGTATTCGGTCACACGCTCTGCACCCGTGAATGTTTCCATTGTGCCTTCAGTGGGCAAACAAGAGGGAACCCCTTGTCAGGTCATGATGCTGTGTCCTGCCACCGGTTGCTTTGAGCACCTGATAATGTGAGCAGAGACGACTTCAGTGTTTAACTTTGAGAATCTGGACATTGATCGCATCAGGAACAGCCGCCCAGGGCCCAGAGGCCTGGGAGGGGTCCCAGCACCAGGACTAGCTATTTCTGTGAACTCAGACCCCCGACGGGCCTTGATTCTCTTATGTGGAAAGCCCAGGAGGCCACGAGGTCCCTGTGAGACCATGTCCAGCCTCTGGGGCGTGAGGCCGTGCAGCGAGCCGGAATGGCCAGGGCCACCTCCGCTTCCGATCCACCTCCTCCTCTCCCTCTCCCCTATCCCATCTCTTTCCACCCCAGGTGCTCTTCTGCTCAGGAAATTGAGCTTCTCCTGGTTGGAACTGTTAACATCACTGCTTTTGTCAATCTTCCACAGGCACTGACGTCCACGGAGACCCAGGCTTCTCAGGCTCTCCCGGAGACAGGGGTGACCCCGGAGAGGCCAACACTTTTCCAGGCCCTGTGGGCACCCCGGGACAGAAAGGCGAGCAGGGAGCTCCAGGTGAGGCCACACGTTCTAAGGCAAATGCATGCTGTCCCCATAACTAGAAGCCCCTGGAGGCTGGGCAGGGAGGCCCACGGGGCCAGAGAGACGGGACAGAGGTGCAAGGGAGAGCCAGCTTCTCTGGGGAGGATGCCTTGTCACAGAACCTCTTGGCCAGTCTTCCATTGTTTGTACTCTGTGCCCTGGGTGTCGGTGAGGTGTCGGCCTCCCACCCCAAGCAGCCAGTGACAGGTTCCCTGGCCTGGAGACCCTGTCGGATCCATGTGTGCCCAAGGCCCTGGCACAGGCTTTGCCATAACCTGCACTCTAAGTAGTGAAAACACGAAGAAATAAACACAGTAAACTTCCGAGCTGAGCCAAACTGACCCATCCTTGGGTAGGAAAACCAGAAACCTATCTTCCCATCTCCCAGCCTCTGTACTCACAACCAAGGCAGGCTTAAGTCTGAATTGAAATGGGAACCAGGCATGGTGGTAGTTTACACTTGTAATCCAAGCACCTTGGGAGGTCAAGGCGGGAGGATCGCTTCAGCCTAGGAGTTTGGAACCAGCCTGGGCAACAATGCAAGACCACGACACAACAAAGATGTTTCAAAGTTAGCCAGGTGTAGTGGCGCTTGCCTCTGTAGTCCCAGCTACTCGAGAGGCTGAGGCAGGAAGAGCCCAGGAGTTCAAGATTGCAGTGAGCTATGACTGTGCCACTGCACTCCAGCCTGGGCGACAGTGAGACCCGGTATCAAGACAGATAGACAGGCAGACAAACAGACAGGTGATAGACAGATAGATAGATAGATGATAGAGAGATAGAGGGAGATTAAATGCTTCTAGATAAAAATGTAGACTGGGCCTTTGTTGGCAGCTGGATCTGTGAAGATCACTGCAGTCTCCTCTAATCTTAGTTCACAATCCCAAAGTTTGCTTCTGATTTCCTTTTTTTTTTTTTGAGTCAAGTTCTCACTGTCACCCAGGCTGGGGTGCAGTGGTGCGATCACAGCTCACTGCAGCCTCAGATTCTTTGGTTCTCCCACCTCAACCTCCTGAGTAGCTGGGACCACAGGCGCAGACCACCATGTCCAGCTGATTTTGTATTTTTTGTAGAGATGAGGTCTTGCTATGTTGCCCAGGCTGGTCTCAAACTTCTGGCCTCAAGCAATCCGCCCACCTTGGTCTCCCAAAACACTGGGATTCCAGACATGAGCCGCCGCACCCACATAAACCCAAAACTCTTCTTGAACTTAATATGAAGTGCCCTTCGTTCCATCCGAGGCATCGGGACCAAATCTCCTGCCTCCAAATACCCTGAGGCAACGTAAAGCCATGGTCACACTCCCATCTGGCACAAAAGTCATGGGCCCAATGAGCCGGTGACTTTGTGCAGGTCCTGGACGTCAGAGCAGACACGGGGCCTTGGCCTGTGCGCCGCAGCTCTGGGTAGGGAGGGGGACAAGGGGAGACTTTCCATGGTGACTTCCCTAGACTGACCACAGTGTCATCAGGCAGTCTTCTCTGAGACTGTGGACATAGTTTCAGTCTAGCCGCCTCCTTTGTGTGAGTTTCAGCTCAGACACGTGAAGCTAGGTAATCCTGCCTCCCCAAGTCCTCCCACGGTTGACAACCGAGCATCCACTCATGATGGGGCCGAGGGTCCCACAAACAGCCCTCCATCAGGCTTTATCCCGACACTCAGGACGAGCTAGGGGCTCCTGAGGAAGCGTGGGTATGTTCCTCCCGTCCAGCAGACACTCGCATTTGCTGAACGCTCTCACATGTCTTGGACGCTGGTGCTCACTATGTGTGAATCCGGCCGGTCTGGGGGCTTCGCCAGATCGTCTGATTCAGCAGTCATGTCTCCTGACACTCACCTTCTGTGTCGGTTGTTCGGTGATGGCAGCTAGAGGCCTCTCACCTGGTGGCACTGTCTGTCCACCTACAGACGAGGGCTCACCGCTCCCCTCGGGGCCGATAAACCCCTTGCCATTGCCGTGATTGGTGATACTAGCATCATCTTCCTACATGTTTCTCCTATCTGTGTCGTCCTGCTGGGAACCACGCCCAGATGGATCCTTTCCCTGGGGTGGACACCGGGATCTTCCAACGGGAAAATTTCTCTGCACTCCTACTGGGTCTGGATTGGTCGTGGAGCCACTGGGAAACCCAGGAACCCACCGTGGCCACCGGCTCTTATGATTGTGTATTTGCACTGTGTTGCCCAACTCGCTGGTGACAAAAAGATGCCAAACTCTGTCAAATAGATACATATTTTTTTGAGTCTGAGTCCCACTCTGTCTTCCAGGTTGGAGTGTGATTACACAATCGTGGCCACCACAGCCTCGATCTGCTGGGCTCAGGCCATCCTTCCACTTCAGCCTTCCAAGTAGCTGGAACTACAGGCATACACCACCATGCCTGGCTAATTTTTAAATGTATTTGGTGTAGAGACGAGGTCTCGCCGAGTTGCCTAGGCTGGTCTCGAACCCCTGGACTCAGGCAATCCTCTCGCCTCTGCCCTCCACAGTGCTGAGATGACAGGCATGAGCCACCACATCCTCTTGTACTTAACAACTGTTGGTGAAATGATGCCACACTGCATAAACGGTTTCAAGATGTTTTATTCTGACCAATATGAGTGACCGGGCCTGTGACACCCCTCCCCAGGAGGTGCTGAACACACGTGCTCACCATGGTCAAATGGTAGCTTGATCGAATGGTAGCTTGGTTATATATGGTTTAAGAGGACAAAAGTTACAAAAAGCTGCAAATCAATACATGTGAGATTTACACTGCTTCAGACCAGGGAGGCCCCAGGCTATAGGTGGCCTCAGACCTTTGTTGACTAACAACTGGTCAGTCCAGTTATCTAAGAAACCTTGAAGCATAAAGCCAGGAGCAGCTTAAGGAGATGAGGAAGAGTTTCTTGATGAGCAGGTGAAGTTTTACAGGGGGTGGCAGCCCTCCAACCAAGCAGGCAGTTGTTTTTTGTTTGTTTTTGAGTTGGAGTCAAATTACCTGGCGGGGCATGGGGACTCAAGCCTGTAATCCCAGCACTTTGTCCAGCACTCTGTCACCCAGCCTGGAGTGCAGTGGCACGCTCCCGGCCACTGCAGCCTCGACCTGCTGGGCTCAGGCGATCCTTCTGCCTCAGCCTTCCAAGTAGCCGGAACTACCGGCGCGCGCTACCATGCCCGGCTAAGTTTTTGATTTATTGTAGAGATGAGGTCTTGCCAAGTTGCCCGGGCTGGTCTCAAAGCCATGGGCTCAGGCAATCCCCTTGCCTCGGCCTCCCAAAGTGCTGGGATTACAGGCTTGAGCCACAGCGCCCTGCTAGGAAATTGTTTATAAAGATGCCTGAGTCCCCAAGAGACAGCTTTATGGGGGTCATAAAATACATTGAGTTTTCTCCTTTATCTGCCAGAGCCAGGTTGGAGAGTAAAGCACATTAAAAGTTAGGAAAAGAGCCGGACTCTGTGGCTCAGCCTGTAATCCCGTGCCTTTGGGAGGCTGAGGTGAGTGGATGGCCTGAGCCCGTGGGT